AGAAATTTTTAATAAAAAAATTATTTTATAAAATAGTAAAAAAATCATCACAAACAAAAGCTAAAGTTTTATTTGAGACAACTTTAGACCTCTATTTTTTTCCTACTTTTAAGAAATTTATGTACTTATAAACAACATTACAAATAAAGGCTAAGGCTACATTTGGGACAACTTTTCTATTGTTTTCTAAAACAACTTTTAAATAAAAATTTGACTAAAAATATTTATACTAGAAAATCATTTTAGAGAGCATTAAGAAAGCGGCCCCAAACAAAGTCTAAATTTGATCAATAAGCAAATTTTCATAAAGCTGATGAGATGAAATCGCCGAGTTATTCTCAAGTTGTATATCAACGTCTACAAAAGGTTTAAACATCTCATATGAAAACTTAGAGAAATTTCAGAAGCCTACTGCTTATCAACATGCGCCTCCTCACAGAGCTTAAAATTACATATAAGAAGAAAACAAGACTGCTAACTGGCAAGATACTGACAGTTAGATGATGATGATAAGATATCATATGTAAATATCTCCATAAAAACTGGCTAATTACCGTAAATCTTCAAGACAAGACATCCAATATCTTCTGTAGAGTAGAAACTCACCTGCATAAAGGCCCTTGTAAGTTTAGCAGATTGAGCACCAAATTACGCTTCGTTTGGGACGGCTTTCTTCCTGCTTCTTAAAGCGGTATTTTAGTACAAAAATCCGCTTTAAGAAGGAAGAAGAAAGCCATCCCAAATAAAGCTTAAAATTGGTTCCAGAAAACTACCCCATCACCTAGCGGGAGCTGCTAAGCAAGCTCCATCTGCGCGTCCAAGTTCAGTCCACTGCAAGCAAAAATATTTTGTCTATGAGTGATAAATTGGGTATCACTACATTTGTGAAATAACTAGAAGTGTAATATTTCGTACAGATCAACAGATTCTCTTTTTAGCTCGTCTATATGATTTTGGATGTTAGCACATGCTGCCTGGATGTCTATATTTTTCTGACATAGCTCTCTCCATTGCGTGTTCAAAGCATCAAGTTCCACAGCTGTGATTTGCTGAACAGTATATCAAGTAATAAGAGTTCTTGGATAGAGAGACTTTGATTTCAGGAAAGAAAATCCCAACTGCAACTTTTAAGTATGAAAAAGCTCCTAAACTTTTTACCTGATGATATTTTCTTTCCTGATTCACAGCTTCATTCTTTTCATTATATTCCAAGGCAACAGCTTGCGTTCTGAAATTTTTAAAGGGAAAAGAAAATAATTTTTTAGGACCAACTTGTTCATCACAAAATAAACAATCATACTGTTGCAAATATTGCAGACTAAGCTCTCTCTCTCTCTCTCTCTCTCT